TATTCCTTTAAAGTGCTTATATACAGTGCTATTGTTAAAGTGCTTATATACAGTGCTATTGTTAAAGTGCTTATATACAGTGCTATTCGCCCACTGAGTCGTTGCATCCATGCTTCAGTATGTGCCGCTCTGTCTTCTTGCCACCCAGCGAGGGGCGCATGCAGACACGGGTGTAAACAAAGATCCTCCTATTGTGCGGAGCCCCAGATCGAGAGAGATTATCAGTGCTCTTGTATGTCTTTCATTTTCTAATATTTGCTCCCACAGTTGATTTCTTCACACCAAGGTGCACACCTATTGCAGATTCAGTCTTCCCAGTCTGGTGCAGGTCTACAGTTCTTTTCCTGGTGTCCTTGGACAGCTCTTTGGTCTTGGCCATAGTGGAGTTTGGAGTCTGACTGTTTGAGGCTGTGGACAGGTGTCTTTTATACTGATGAGTTCAAACAGGTGCCATTAATACAGGTAACGAGTGGAGGACAGAAGAGCTTCTTAAAGAAGAAGTTACAGGTCTGTGAGAGCCAGAGAAGTGACCAAATACTTATTTTCCACCATAATTTGCAAATAAATTCTTTGAAAATCAGGCAACGTTCTGGATTTCTTGTTTCATTCTGTCTCATAGTTGTGTATGATGAAAATGACAGGCCTCTCTCATTTTTTAAAGTGGGAGAACTTGTACAATTGGTCGCTGACTAAGTACTTTTTTGCCCCTCTTTATATGTATGTGCCATTTTTGTGATTGACATTATTTTTAATGGTGTGTGTATTTTTGAAAACGTTTTTAGTATAGTTACTAGAACAGGAAGAGAACGCTGGAAATATTTGTATCAGAATTGGAGGTTTTCCCTCAGATCCATAACGCCAATCCAGGTTTATGTTTTCTTTTAAAAGAATGGAGAAAAACGATTAATCCTCCAAATCCTGCTTATAGTGGAATAAGTGAAGAGTTATAAAACAGTATTTTTACTTAAAGACTTAAAATGTCCTACTTCCCTTGAGCCAAAATTCACTTTTTTCTGTACGGGCTGCAATTCTGTTGTTCTGGATGTTCCATTGTTTTATGTTGTGCAGCCGTTTGTCTAAATATGTCCAGTGTGGGGTATTGTCGTGTGAGGCCGTGAAACCAGAACCTTCAGTGATGTGGCTGCACTTGTGCCATGCCTTTCTCAAGCCTGGGCCCCTCCTCTTTTCAACCCCAGATAAAAATACATGTGAAGAGGCAAGTTGACTTCTGATCCCTGACTTTCCCTGACCTCTGGAACCTTGTCACCAGAGCTCCTGACAGCCCTGATCCACACAGGGCATACACAGGAGGAATTGGGGCTTTTTCATAGAGGCACTTTGGCAGTCCATTCTCTGTGCACACAATCTTTTCCCCTAAGGACAATACAATATAAGTCTCTAGAGCTGTGTGCATGCTGTTTACATGTTGTTAAAGTGCAACAAAGAAGTCTAATGGCAATGAGAAATATCCTTGTGTCTGTTGGTCATTGCATGAGCTTTCTCTAATACAATACCAGCATAAAAACAAGGCCTGAAAGAGCACTCAGTAAATGTAATAAATGTTTAGCACTTTTGACTCTGATCCCTTATCTGGCCCCTGCTGCATGTGCTGGGGTCAAGTGAGTGGAGCTGTATTGGTTGCTGTGTTGAGTTGGTGGCACTTTCTACAGGTAAGAAGTCACATATTATGAAAAACACCCATCATTAAATAGGGTATACATTTAAGAACAAATGTATGCGGTAAATCCATGGCAACAACTTTTAAAAATACATTTTGATACAAAAACTTCAGTGGAACATGCACATTTGTACAACTCAAAAGAAATGAAACAAGTTTGTGATTGTGACATGACAAACTCCATGTTCACACTTCAACATTACTGTGTTGAAGTGTGGGGAAACTGCTATAAATCCCACTTACAGCCTCTGATCACGCTGCAGAAAAAGGCCATAAGGATTGTCTCTAATGTTCACTACAAGCATCACTGCTCAGATTATGTTCAGGGCATCAAAAAACTCTGCCTCCAAATGTTCAGAATTTATTTCGTGACAGAGACACGCATAATAGTCATAGACTAAGAGGAAATAAAAATGTATACTTGCCTAAATTTAGGACCACTTTAAAGTCAATGTGTGTCTCAGTGCGAGGAGTTTCTCTATGGAATACCTTAAAGGATTAACTTAAAAATAGTACAAATCTGACTCAATTTAAAGCTTTGTTTAAAAAATATGTACTAAAGAAATACAAGGAGGAAAGAGAGTGATGCCCTCAGCACAGTGTGTGTGTGTGTGTGTGTGTGTGTGAGAATGCGTGTATGCGCATGGGTTGTTTTTTTTTTTTTTTTTTATATATATATAAATTTTTTGTTGTATACCATTGGTGGTAGTGTTGTATTGACAGTAGTACTTTGTAATGTGATTTTTGGATTATTTTGACAAACCTTGAACATATGTGTCTGAACATTTGTCAAATGTGTCTTCTGTGCAGGTTTTGAAATAAAGAAATAAATGAAACAAACTAAGGAAAAGTCCATGGGGTATGCACATCTCTGCTGCTATGACATTCACTTGTAAACACAGTGAAACACAAGAGTGGCGTAGGTCTTAAAAGGACGCCTACCTAACGGACACAGCCTCGTAGCACCTCTGCCATATCAGTTTATTTGTACGCTCAATACCCTGATGACCGTGGTGTGTATGGAACTGCTCAAAGACTTCTGCAGGAAGGCTCTCCGGCACCCCAGCTGCAGCTCCTCCTCCCCTCCATCTGATCGTTGATTAGCCTGCTGCAATCGTCTGTCACTGATGCGCAGCCGATCTGACTGGCGTAGTAATTCTTGCACTGCAAGACCCTTGTCTTGTCGCTCTTCATTCGTTTCTGCTGAACATAGGGATGCACAAAAGAGATAAGAGAATCTGCTTGCTGTATTATTACCAAGTTCCTGGGAGTTTGTTCCGGCAAAAGCGGATTGAACAACCACCCTTTTTTGCCATACCGCTTCTTCGACGGCCCCTGGGATTGGTGTACCTGGATGAGATGAAACTGGGGAGTTTGTTAGAGTTTGCCTTGAGAGGGCTGGTGTGAGCTGGGACGGGTCTTGCCGGGTCTTGAACAGCTCCTAAGCCTTCATGGCTGACATTGATTTCTAAAATAAGGGAAGGTTAAAATTTGCATACAGTTGCACCGGAGAGGACACCGACCATGCTTTAAGCAAGGAGAAGATTGGAATTGATCCTATTTTTTACCAGTTGGATCTACAACTACTTCATTGCGGTCACAGTATGTCAGGTGAGGGAAGAGCTTGTCTGGGACTGTTGTGTGCACCACAGGTGCACCACAGGGTACCGTTCTGGCTCCCTTCCTCTTCACAATTTACATTCCAGAATTGGCACAGAACTCTGCTACATGTCAGGTACAAAAAATATTTGGATAATACCGTTGTTGTGGTATGTGTGAACGGATTTATTTTGGTCTTCAAACCCCACAAGCTGTATATCCTTTTAAAGCTCATTTTCTCATCTGCATGAATATATAAGTGCAGGCAATACCAGACTTTACACTAAAAAGATATAAAGCATAATATGGCACCAAATGATTGATAGATCTAAACAACCTATGACAATAACTTTCAAACAAGGGGTGAGACTTGGTATTTTAACCCCAGACACAGACGCGTAAGGAGGCAAAACATATGAGAAAGGAATCTGGTTTATGCAGCATGTACCTACACTCTAATCCAAATATAAACATATCATACAGGAGGTAGTTTTTAAGTACCACAACATAATCATTTGTTTTTTATGGTGATAGATTACCTCCGATTGTGCCAATATTTGCCAAACTAAGTGTGACAAACAAAACCGAATGGCAATAGTTTATGTAAAAGGAAAACTGCATCAAAACTTTTAAAACCTAGAGGTCTGAAACTTTAGACAGTTGTTTCCAATGAGGGACCATAGGGTTTGAATATTGTGAGCTTACAATTAAGTGTGCTTTTGTTAGGGTGTTTCTGATTTAATATTTTAGGCGAGGCTAAAAAAATAACAAACTTCAAAGGATGCAGAGTGATATAGGAATGACATACATTATTCTAGTGTATATTTACATAAACTAGAAGGCTTTAGCTTTACACAAGCATGTGATGTGTAAGATGTATTTTTAAATATGCAAAGACATTTAGGTATGCCCAACTTTGGTGCACAAGTCAAAATGAGGTGGGTGTTTAGTTAAGAGGTTAAATGTCTTAAATGCTCTTACATTCAACTACACTGTACAGCGTCTGAGACAATATCTAGCCCTGCCAAACTGCTGTGAAATATTGCCATTGTTTAGAAAATTTTGTTTTAAACATTGTTTAAATTTGGGCTGACAAACTACAATAGAACATCAAAAATATATTTCTATCCAGCCCGTACCGATACAAAGTTCAAAGCATTTCTTCACTGCTTCTCAACAATGAGTCTCAAAAGCTCAGCAGCTCTTACTCCTGGAACATTGGAGCAGTGAAGCTGAGGCAAGGACAAAACCATCCAACATTCCAAACAAGCCTGAAGTTATGGTTCAATTTGACCATTTAAAAGACGTCATACTTTGTTTCAAGATGGGGGGGTGGGGGAAGAGGGGTGGGGGAGGGAGGGCAGGGAGTTCAGCTTCCTGATGGCCTTGTGAATGAAACTGTTTTTAAGTCGACTGGAACTGTTCCGTAAATTCTGCAGTCTCCTCCCTGAAGGCCCCTGAAGAGCCTGTATGATGGGTGCGTAGGGCCCCTGGTGATTCTGACGGCTTTGCGGGTGAGACGGGTGGAGTACATGTCCTTAATGGTGGGGAGGGGCTCCACAGATCTTCTCTGCTGCTCTCCTTCGGCAGGAGGCAGTGATGGAGCTGCTCAGGATGCTCTCTACAGTCCCTCTGTAGAAGTTGCCCACAACGGAGGCCGGGACTCCTGTAGGGACTCCTGTAGGGACTCCTGTAGGGACTCCTGTAGGGACTCCTGTAGGGACTACTGTAGGGACTCCTGTAGGGACTCCTGTAGGGACTCCTGTAGAGACTCCTGTAGAGACTCCTGTAGAGACTCCTGTAGAGACTCCTGTAGAGACTCCTGTAGAGACTCCTGTAGAGACTCCTGTAGAGACTCCTGTAGGGACTCCTGTAGGGACTCCTGTAGGGACTCCTGTAGGGACTCCTGTAGAGACTCCTGTAGAGACTCCTGTAGAGACTCCTGTAGAGACTCCTGTAGAGACTCCTGTAGAGACTCCTGTAGAGACTCCTGTAGAGACTCCTGTAGCGCCTCTTGTGACGCCTCCACTGTGCTGCAGATGCGTGGGGCCCTCGGTGACCTGTCAGCGCTTCAGAAGATAATATCTCTGGATTTGTAGGTCTTAAATACTGCTCAAAAAACCTTTAGCTCAGATGCTAACTGTGTGTTTACTTTTAAAAACACATCTTCTGTTCATTGCTAGCAAAGAGCTTTGGCAGTAAAAAAATCCGCTGAACTCCACAAAAACATGGCAAAGATGTACAACAACATCTTGGAAAACAATGCGGATCACAAAAACTGCAAATGCAGTTTGCAGAAAAGGGTAGAAACGTCACCTTGTCAAGAGAGAGAAGCAGCAGCATGTTCATGCCGCCATGGTAACAAGGAAATCCAGTTTTTTCTCAGATCTCCGGAAGCATTATCTGCACCGTAAATGTGTGTATAGATTTTAAAATGTACTTATTCCTGAATCAAAACAGTCTTGGGTGGTTTATAGATCCAATGAATAACATAGGAACTTTCACGAGTCTCATACAGTAACCCTCACTTTCAGTTGACTTAGGCCCAGAAGTTGAACAACCAAGTCAAGTTTAGTGCTAATCAGACTTTGTAAATGAGCTCCTGTTTGCACATACAATCTGTGAGTGTGTCCATATACAGTGTGGGGGGAAAAAGTATTTTGTCAGTTATGCAAGCTCTCCCACTTAAAAAGATGAGGGAGGCCTGTTTCATAGTATTTGTTTCTATGTCTCACTCTGGGAAACGCCCCCTCGGGTGTTCACAGAAGCCCTATACACCCTAAGCCCTCTTCACTGCCAGCCCGGAGTGGCACCTCTTCTTGCTTCACTAAGCCAAGTTACCGCAACTCCAGTGTATCTGACGGCTAATTCAACTGTTCACAGGCAAGAGCTAATCCCTCTGCTGCCGCACGTTAGCTGTCACTACTCAGGATGGTTAGTGCGTTTTTATCTGTTAGCTCCACCAAGCTAACTCTCGGCTTTGCCTGCTACCACGCCAGGTATCAGTCATGGCCACAGCTGCAAAGCTGTCTCCTTCCACGGAGTTGGAAGACGTCCAGCGCTGCACCTGCGGGAACAAGATCTCGAACGACAATACACACCAGGTCTGCTCGGCGTGCCTTGGGCTGGAACACGCTCGGGACGCACTTGAGAATCATGGATCATGTATGCACTGCTCCCGGTTCACGGCCAAGAGTCTTCGTCGGAGGCTAGCACGCCATGACCGAGCCTGAGCCCGCTACCGCAGCACACCAACTCAGAGGGGGCGCTCAGGCTATGTCTGACACCAGGCCTGGAGCAGCCGCCTAGGCTGCCCTGGCCCAGTTAAGCTGGAGCTCTGCACTGGACCTTTCGAACCCTCTGTGTCACTGGCTCGTCCAGGAAGCCTCACGGGCTGGGGCGGTGTGTTCGAGGACAGACCCGTAAACGGGGTATGGAGTCCTCACCTCCGCCGCGCTCATATAAACTATTTGGAGCTTTTGGCAGTGGCACTTAAGCGGAAACACTTTCTCCCGTTCCTCCAGGGGCACTATGTGCTGTTGAGGACGGACAACACAGCTACTGTGGCTCAGATAAATTGCCCAGGGGGACTGCGCTCCCGCTGCTTGCTCACGAACGGACAGTTGTTTCATCCTCACCCGAGAGGTTTGTACTACGGGCCTGGCCCCTGAGTGGTTAAGTCTCTCTGCGGCTGTTCCTCCCTCAGAATGCAATCCATACTATTCAGAGCGCCAGGGCCGCTTCCACAAAGTCTTTGTATGACCTTAAGTGGAATTGTTGTGTTTTACAGGGGTTGCTTTCTTTCAATTGTCCCTTGAATGTCATTTTGTCATTCCTCCAGGACCTTATTGAAGAGAAAAAGGTATTCTCCACAATAAAAGTGTATCTGGCTGCTCTTTGGGCATGTCATGTTGGCTTTGATGGAAATCCGCTGATCCACAGTTTTATGAAGGAGATTACTGCCTGTGTCCAGAACCATGTCCCCTTCGTGGAATCTGGCTGTGGTTCTACAGGCTCTTTCTGTCCATCCTTTTGAACCTTTGGAGGACATTGACTTGAAGATGTTGTCATTGAAGACTATATTGCTGGTTGCTTAAGCCACAGCAAAATGTATCAATGATATCCATGCTTTATTTACGCACCCTGCATGTATGCAGTTCAGTGCTGATTAATCTCAGGGTGACTCTGCGTCCCAATCCAGCTTTTATCCCAAAGGTGATTGGTGCCTGCACCCAGGTCGTTGTGGAGGATTTTCGTTCCCCACTCAACACTTTTGTTGAGCAGCAGGAGTCGCACAGGTTGTGTCCTGTCCGAGCTCTCAAGGTCTATGTTGAGTGGACCAGGTTTTTTTGACAAGCAGACCAGCTTTTTGTGTCTTGGGCAAAACCTCACAGAGGGCCTCAAAACAGAGGCTTTCTCATTGGGTAGTGGAGGCCATATCGTTGGCTTATTCCACTGCAGGCCTGCAGGTCCCGGTTGGCCTTAGGGCCCTTTCTACCAGGGGCCTGGCAACCTCATGGACCTGTTTCAGGGGGGTTTCTATCAGGACATTTGTGCAGCTGCTAGTTGATCTTCATCCTTGACCTAAGCAAGCTTTTATAGGTTGGATGTCATGTCTCAGGGTTTGTCTAACGCTGTCCTCAGTGTGGGTTCTCCTGAAGACATGCCCTGATCTTTGGCTCTCTCATGGGCCTTTGGCTGGCATCATGTCATTGCGATGAGCTTGTCTGGCAATACGGGAGTCTCCATATCCCATAGTGAGACATCGAAACGAATACTATGAAAGGGAACTTTAGGTTACCTGTGAGATGTCTCACCAGATCACCCTTCTTGCTTTGGGGGTGAAGCGAGAAGAGGTGTGCTTATTGAATGACGGGTGTCGTTGTACAAAGGGCATTTATAGTGGGGGCCAATGTCGCGACGTCACCACTGCCAGCCACTCCGGGCTGGCGTAATAGTATAGGGCTTCTCTGAACACCCGAGGTGTTTCCCATAGTGAGACAAATTGGGACCAAATACTTATTTTCCACCATAATTTGAAAATGCACTCTTTAAAAATCAGACAATGGGATTTTCTGGATTTTGTCCTTCTGTCCCTCATAGTTAAGGTATACTTATCATGAAAATGACAGGCCTCCTCATCTTTTACTAGTTTTCTTTTGAATGTGCTGGAAAACGGCTGCAAGTCCTAAGTAGCTCTGAAACCGTTGTTCTTTTGTGCTTTCCAATTTAAATTGGGATTACCTGACTACCTGAGATTGCTACAGTGGTCCAGACCAGAGCGGAGAGGATTCATGGTGGATGGAACCAAGTGGATCAGGTGAAAATCCACTGGAGGAAGGCTAACTTTTTAGAAAAGCTGATGAAACATTTAGCTTTTTAGCTTTAGACTAGAGCAGAGAAAATGTAAGTAAGTAAGTAAGTAAGCTTTATTTATATACCGCCTTTTCACTGCACATCGGAGTCTCAAAGCGGTTTACAATTGTTGGGTGGGGGTGCCAGTACAGGAGGCACATGCCAGACCTGTTGTACATATTTTTAGTGGTAGGGGAAACCGGAGCACCCGGAGGAAACCTACGCAGACACGGGGAGAACATGCAAACTCCACTCAGAAAGGCCCTGGTCCAACCGGGATTCGAACCCAGGACCTTCTTGCTGAGAGGCGAGAGTGCTATCCACTCAGCCACCGTGCCGCCCTTGGTCTGAACCAAGCGGCTACTCCACCTTGTGACCTGTCCTGCTCCACCCAGCGGCTACTCCACCTCTGCTGCTGTGACCTAAAGGGTTGTTGTTGATTATTACTATTGTTAGCTTTTTAGAATGATTGATTTTTTTTAATTATTTTTTTGCTGCTATAAAGTATCTATCTTTTTAAGTGGGAGAACTTGCAAAATTGGTGGCTGACTAAATACTTTGTTCCCCCTCTGTATACTTTCTTAATTGGATAACATGGGATCTTAACACATCTAAGACAATAACCACAATTAGACCGTTTGACTAATTCAAATTCTGTTTAGATGATGTGGGGCAATTTTGAGCCAAATCGACATGTACACTTTTCATTATTCCATTTTCCAATTAAATTAATGGGCTTCCAGTTTGTCAGGGGGCGTGGCCATGATACATTTGTTCATGAGTTGAGGGGTATGTGTACCAAATGTTGTGGCTCTACCGCAAACTTGACCTCGGACCGTTGAAGTCATCCACCTGTTCCATAGAACATTTCGTAGGGTACCTCCAGCATGGATTTGTCAGTGTCTGGGCACGTGCCGTCGGGCTTTGCCCAGGCATTTCTCATTGGGAAAGCAATAGGCCCTTACCCCAGTTGGCACTCGGGCCAAATTAAAGCTGCAAGCGGCGTCAAATGGCCCTCGCAACCCTGATGAGAGCTGCAGGTGAATAAAGTCAATAATCTATCCTTGATCGTTGGTTATTATTTGAGGCACCAATCCAATTCCAATACCGTAGGATTGCATAATCACTAGTAATGTTTGTTGATGAACAGAAATTGTGTATTGTGTCATTAATAATCTGTTGTACTAGAGAATTTTTCTTGAAGAAAATTTTGATTGGCCTTAAAATATTTACAAAAAAAAAACAATTTGCATTACGCTTAGTAATATTTTTCAATTTAATTTTGTTCATCTTAATCTCAATGTTTTATTTAGCCCTTGATTTATATTAAACTTACAACTTAATTATTTGACTTTAATTGACATTTTTGAAAAGACTTTAGTCTATTCAAAAATGCTGTTGCATGATTTTGTGTTGAAAATGAAAGACTTTAGACTGCGCACCCAGGTAACCTGGAAGTTTTATTCTGAGTTTTACTTTTTTTCTTTTCTGGCATGAAGACAGAGCAAGCATTGTATTTGGAAATAGCTCGTCAAAACAACAGAGACATCGCCTATGGTCCACACTTTACAGATGTGAAATCTTAATGTATTGTTTATTTTTTAGTGTTTTTTTAGGATCTTTATTAGTTAGATGTGGGAATCAGCTCTCTGAGATTTGAAAGATACTTGTTTGTTAAAACCATTCTCAGGATGCATGCAAGCCGCCTCGGGTCAATTGTTCGTGACGACGGTGAATGTGAAGTATGCAACGACATAATCCCCGGGGAAAATATAACACACAGGCATTTGAGCTGTCGTCCACTGTGGTCCACTGTGGTCCACTGTGGTCCACTGTGGTCCACTGTGGTCCAAAAGCAGGAGGGAATTACAAATGAATTAGGTCATTGTATAATTTTACCCCTTTCAATCCAAAGTAATCTGTAAACATTGCTGATGTGATGATTATGCTGAATGTTCTCTATTGGTCTGAATCTAATTTGGCGTTATAACTTATTTGTCTGTATAATACATGTAAAACTTTCATTCAGAGTCTAACAGGAAGGCCCACGTGTCAAACAGAGGTACACACGTCGTACGCTGCAAAAAGGTGACAGAGTAGGATACATTTTGCTAAAATTACGTCACTTAAAAAATATTTGCAAATAGACAAAGCACTGGTTTTTCAAGAGAGAAAGTGACAAATAATGTTCTTTTTTAGTTTAGTTTTTCACTTTTGCAGATGTCCTGTTGTTTGCACATTTCCAGTCGTTTCAAACATTTCCAGTCTTTGATCGTATTGATGTCTCCACTGTGAGATCAATAAAGTTGTATCTTATTTTATCTTAAACTCTTTCAGTTTAATCTTTGGGCCTTGTGTAAAATAATTGGTGAAATACAATGAAAAACATTTAGAAATGTATTCTGAAATAATGTCCAGCCTCTTGCTTTCTCTACTTTGAGATAAGTAAACATTTTGATTAAATATTTGCATCTGTTTTTTCAGTGTTCTCTGACACAAACTAAACATGTTCAAATCAAATGGTATTTTTTTATTACAGATTTATTCTTACTTCTTGATGTAAACATTTCTTAGGTTGAATTTCCAATCAAAGAGCAGAATGAACCTAACATGAGTGGGTTTTGCGATGCCAGTTAAAACCACCTTTTAACCCCTCACTTTACACATTGTCTACTGGGGTTCTGAGCTAAAACAGCAGATCTCTATCAGATATCCCCACAGGTCTGTGTATTCTAAATTATAGGAGCGCTTTAAGCCAGTAAATACAAAACCATATTTCCAAACAAATTGTATCTTTTTGTATCACGTCTGGGAGCTGCAGATGTCACAGACCGTCGCAGACCGTCACAGGTGGAGGCGATACAGCGGCTGACTGACAGGTGGAGGCGATACAGCGGCTGACTGACAGGTGGAGGCGATACAGCGGCTGACTGACAGGTGGAGGCGATACAGCGGCTGACTGACAGGTGGAGGCGATACAGCGGCTGACTGACAGGTGGAGGCGATACAGCGGCTGACTGACAGGTGGAGGCGATACAGCGGCTGACTGACAGGTGGAGGCGATACAGCGGCTGACTGACAGGTGGAGGCGATACAGCGGCTGACTGACAGGTGGAGGCGATACAGCGGCTGACTGACAGGTGGAGGCGATACAGCGGCTGACTGACAGGTGGAGGCGATACAGCGGCTGACTGACAGGTGGAGGCGATACAGCGGCTGACTGACAGTGGAGGGGCGATACAGCGGCTGACTGACAGGTGGAGGCGATACAGCGGCTGACTGACAGGTGGAGGCGATACAGCGGCTGACTGACTGGTACGCTGACTGACAGGTGGAGGCGATACAGCGGCTGACTGACAGGTGGAGGCGATACAGCGGCTGACTGACAGGTGGAGGCGATACAGCGGCTGACTGACAGGTGGAGGCGATACAGCGGCTGACTGACAGGTGGTGCCCTCGACGTCTAGACACATGCACTGGATAATTACCGTGACCCTGTGTGATCATGACGTGGCGGCAGTGTTAGAGCTGTCACAAGGCTCTGGTCATTGTGTTATTTGGGTCAAGGCCAAGAGGAGACTGTGCTTGATGTGTGGTAAGGATGGCCAGTGAAAAATAGAACAATGTGTAACTTTAGTGCAGTTGATGGATTGGCTGAGTGAGGGCGGTCTTCACTTATATACCCCCCTTCACTCAGCCAATCAGCTCTCATCCCAAAGCATGAAATAGTGACTTACTGGGCTCCATCTCACAAGTATGCAAAAGATAAAATGTTTTGATTTAGAATAAGGACTGCATGGTTTGGTTTTTACATGAACTCTTTCTGTTGGGGCAAACATAAGAAGTTAAGAGTACCCCAACTTTAATGTACCTCTATATATTGTTTAAACTTGAAAGAAAAATAGCATTACATTAGCCTCAAATAAAGTGTGAGCTTTTGATGGGGCGCCCTAGATACTGCAGTACTGAAGTACTGTAGTACTGTAGTACTGCAGTACTGAGGGCTGCACACTCCAGACTTCAAGAACGGCTGTTGTATTGCATTGATTTTCATAAATACACACCCACGTGCACACGCACACAGAAGGGTTATTGGATTGGGAAGCTATTTTTTAATGTTACATTTGATAATATGAAAAACAGAAATGGAATTGTTATTTTGTTATTCATTAAGGAAAATTTGCACTTTGATAAAAAATATGACTGCACCAGATTTGGCAACATGCTGCTTCTGTCGTCCTATGGTTTGGATAAAGGTGTTGTGCCTTGGTCTCTTTTTAACAAAAAGTGTATATTACCAACACAAATAGGTTAAATTAATTGGCAATTTTGGAAATGATACATATCCTGTGAAATACTGTGAGCGTTTGGATACGCTGATAACGGATACGACAGTCAGCTGAGTCTTCCTCGGTTAGAAGGAACAGGCAAACTCCAGGTGCACAGTTGTGATGTTTATTGATGGAAGAGCACAGGTATGTTGCAGGTGAAGATTTCTGTGTATAGGTGCGTATGTGTGTGTGGTCATCTGGAATTAACAGAAAGATAGTATACATTAGAAATAGCCATTTGACTATAAACACAGGTAAACACAGGTACAATGTAATGACAGAATGGAATTTCACCCGTTCCCCACAAGGGGGTGCTCTAACTCTACAAACCGTAGCACACGTGGGACTTAAGAAGAGACAAATGAAAGTAATTATTTGTTTAACAGGAATGGACTCCTTAAACTATATACACATGAGCAACTATGTACAATGTAATAATAAAGCAGCTTATTATACAGCGTGCTCCAACGCGATGGACGCTCCTACTGCAAATGCACGTGGCACACGACACATATTATAACTAAAGGTAGGGAGCAACAATTTGGGATATATACAGTGAGATAAAGAAAATATACATTGGCACACAATACTCACGTTGTATAAACGCACACAGAACTTATATACACTGGATGGAGGACGGATGGCATGACACACTCGCACAGGCTTTGCTCCTAACACCGTAATGATTTATGAATAGCTCTAAACTCGGCTACCGGAGAGGGCCCCTGGGAACTACAATATTCACAAGTGCATCATGGGTAATGTAGTGAGGGACTTTTAACAGCCGCCTCTGTATTTGTAGAGCAAATACACACATACAAAAGTCCACTAGTGTGTGGGAGTGCCATCGTCGTCGGGCACTTCAGGAAGCTCGACCAGTTTAGTTACCGGGCGAATGTAGTCAGTGTCTTTAACCCTTACTTCTGCAGCTCGCACCACCCCATCGGCGCCTGGGAAAACTTTGGTTATGGTGCCTATGGGCCACAGACCTCTGGGGAGATTTCGATCGACGATCATTACCACTCGTCCGACGGCAACGTTGTCAGTGACGTTCCTCCACTTCTGTCTCAGCTGGAGGCCCGGGAGGTAGTTTTGGATAAAGCGTCTCCAGAAGTGGTCGCTAATCACTTGACTGTGTCTCCATCTTCGGTTGGAAAGGGCATCATGAGGGCCGTACACCGCCTGTGGTAGCGCTGCGTCACGCCGCCCCATTAGCAGCAGGTTAGGCGTGATGGGGTCAGTGTCGGCCACATCAGAGGAGGCATACCCAAGTGGTTTTGAGTTTAGTATGCCTTCTACCTCGATGAGAGTGGTGAGTAGAACTTCTTCAGCCACAACTTGATCCTTCAGGACGACCTGCAGAGCTGATTTGACTGACCTGATTTCCCTCTCCCAGGCTCCCCCGAAGTGAGGAGCATAAGGTGGGTTGAAGTGGAAGTTGATGGTCTGGCTGGCCAACTGCTGCTGTAGATCCGGGGACATGTTCTCAAAGGCAGTCTGGAGCTCTTTACTACCACCTCGGAAGTTTGTGCCCCGGTCAGACCACACCTCATGTGGTTTCCCCCTGCGTGCAATAAATCGGCGTAAAGACATAAGAAAAGAGTCAGTGTCAATGCTAGGCAGGAGATCTAAGTGCACACATCTGGTGGTGAGGCACTTGTAGATGATCCCCCAGCGCTTCTCTCTCCTGCGTCCAATCTTCACAACATATGGACCAAAACAGTCCACGCCTGTAGACCAGAATGGGGGTTTGTACAGCCTCAGCCGGGATGAGGGAAGGTCGGCCATTTTTGGAGTAGTGGGAGAAGCACGCCATACTTCTGCAGTCAACGCACTGATGCTGATGTTTCCTAATAGCCTGGCGCCCTCTGATGATCCAGTAGATGCGACGTATCTCTGCAAACAGTCTTTCTGCCCCAGGATGGAGGAGCTGCGCATCATAATGCTTTATGAGGAGCTTAGACAGAGGGTGATCTCCAGACAGCACAATTGGGTGAAGGCTGTCTGGGTCTACGTCTGTGGCGCGACGCAGGCGACCTCCCACTCTTATCAGCCCGACGATGCGGTCAAGTTCAGGAGAGAGTACACTCAGACGGCTGTTTGAGTGTACAGAGCGGCCGGATTGGAGGGCTTGGACCTCCTCTGGGAAACTGTCAGTCTGTGCAAAGCGAATGAGCTGCGTTTCTGCCTCTAGACGCTCTGCTGCCGTGGGGGAAGTGGCCGCCCCATGAAGGGACTGATGAGTGGCTAGGATCAGGTCATCCAGCGTGGCATACTGAGATGAATCCGGGATGCTCTGGGACATTGTTGTGTGGGCACAGAAAACTGCTTTCCTGAGCTCCTCACTGCTGTTGTCTGTGTGCTCAGCTGGGGACTGGGGCCACATGTCCGGTGTCTGTGTTAGGAAATGTGGGCCTTGTGACCAGCGACTGGAGGCAGTTAACTCTGCTAGGGGTTTACCTCTGGTGATGTCATCAGCGGGATTATGTTCAGAGTTAACATACCGCCACTGTTCTGGGGAGGTCATCTCTTGGATTTCGCAGATTCGAGTGCCCACAAAGACCTTGTATCGGCACGAGCTGGACTGTATCCACTGCAGGACTGTAGTGGAATCTGTCCACAGGCAGACGGACTGGAGAGGGATTGTGAGTTCAGTTTGGAGCAGTTTGGCGAGTTGGGCTCCAACGACTGCAGCACACAGCTCCAAGCGTGGGATAGACACCTGTTTCCGGGGAGCTACTCTGGACCTGGCAATGGCAAATGTTGTGGCGAGGTGCTCTTGTTGGTCCATCACTCTGAGATAAGCTACAGCTCCATATGCCCTCTCCGAAGCATCGCAGAAGATGTGGGCTTCATATGTCACACAGCTGCTGTGGGGAGGAGAGTAACAGCGGGGGATGGTGACATGCTGCAGGTGTGTGACAGCTCGCTCTCCCATTCAATCCAGGACTGGAGCAGGGTGCCTTGAATGGGCTCGTCCCATCCTCTCTCTGTGCTCCACAGGCCCTGTACAATCAGCTTTGCTCTGGTGGTGTATGGGGAGATATAACCCAGCGGGTCATACTGACTGGCCAGCACTTTGTAAACATTACGCAAGGTAACAGTTGTGTAAGACACTGGGCGATGCTTGTACCCCAGTACATCTGTAGGGCAGTGCCAGCTGAGACCCAGAGTCGATTCCTGGGGATCTAAGCTTTTGAGATTCAGCCACAGATCACAACTGTCAGACCTGGCGCTGCTGGGGAGATGAGCAACCACTTCAGGAATGTTGCTCGCCCACTGCCTTATCTCAAATCCACCTTGAAGCAGGAGTTCCCTCATTCTGTCAATGAGTGCCTTGGCCTCTTGTGGCTGATCCAGGGACTGCAGGCAGTTATCCACATAATATGCTGTGAGCACAGAATTATAAATGTCCGGATGAGTGTCTCGGTGCGCCCTCACATGGCTCTGAAGCGCAAAGGTGGCACAGCAGGGACTGCATGTTGTACCGAATGGCAGGACTCTTCCACTCATACACATCTGGGGGGCGATCGGTTTCACCATCTCGCCACAGGAAGCGCAGGAGGGGGCAGTCCTCTGGGAGCAGTCGGACCTGGTGGAACATAGCCTTTATGTCTCCGCTCACTGCTACAGGGTGCTGCCGAAAGCGGAGTAGGACGCCGAGTAGCGTGGGCCCCAGTGTTGGTCCGGGCAGCAGATATCTGTTGAGGACCGCTCCCTGGAACTCAAAGGAGCAGTTAAAGACAACCCGGGCTTTATTATTATGATGTACCATGTGGTGCGGCACATACCAGGATTCAGTGGAGCTGTGAATCTGCTTTGGAGTTAACTTAACCACATAACCTGAGTCCACTAACCTCTGTATCTCCTGATTGTATTTGAGGGCGAGAGCAGGTGTTTTCACTAATCTACGTTCTGTGGACCTAAGGAGACCTTTAACCGCATCAGGAGGGACTTTGAGCTGTGGGAAATCAACTTTGCGGAGTAGGGGAGTGGCATATCTCTGGACACCGTTTACAGGGACTCTAATGGTTTTAGCCTCGAGTGTGGAAATGGCCTCTTTGTCCTCTTTGGAGCGTGTGACTTCCCTCTCTGGTTTGTGGAGGGGAGCGTCTAATTGCCACAGACGCTGTACATCCTTCTGCAGGGCTTCAGCAGGAGAAAGGCAGGATATGTTCAGGCAGTGCACCTCTCCCTGCTGTGTGGGCATACTGTTGCTGGGACCCTGGATGACCCACTCGAGCTTGGTGCATACAGCCACTGGCCCATGGGCTGGCCCGCGCAGGACTGGCCGAACAGGAGTGATTAGGTGAGCATTGTCCGAGCCGATTAGCACCAGAGGCTGCACTTGTGTGAATTCCTCCAGCTGCACATGCTGTAAGTGACGATACTTTCCCTTTAAGAGCTCCACGGGGCATGACTGTTCAGCGAGACTCAACTGTGTGGCAGTGAAAGCGTGCACTATTTTGTAGCGTGTTTTTGGCTTGGACCTGGGTGACAGTTGAAATGACACATAAGCTCCCTTCATCTGTATTACATCGTGACGGATAGTTCGGAGTGAGAGCGTTTCCTCTTCCTGCGTTAGCCCCAGTGATTTGACTGCAGCTGGGAGGATGATGGTTTTCTCTGATCCATCATCTAAAAGGGCAAATGTGTCCAGGGACTTCTTGTCATGGTGCAGCTGGATGGGAACCACTTTAAGCATAACACGGCCTGAGTGGCTGAGTGGACCCAAAAAGACTTGGCTGGTACTAACAGTCAGAATGTTAGGATCTTGTTTCTTCGCCTCTGCCAGGTCATGAAGCACTAATAAGTGCTGTTCTCCACAACTGCTACATGGCTTCTTCAGTGTGCACTGCTCAGGAGTGTGTTTGCGGCCACAGCGCCAGCATTTGGATTGGTCTTTTATCCAGGCAGCTACAGCTTGAAGATTGAGCTTTTTAAAGTCTTCACAGCCGTTGAGGTAATGTTCTGTTCCTTTACAGTATGGGCAATATGGCGTGAACTTCTGCCTCTGTTTGGAGGAGGCTGAAGGAAAAGCTTGTGTCTTGCGCTCAGTTTTAGCTTGTGCTTGAGATGGATCTGATCCATAATAGATCGATGTAGGCTTACTCTGTGACTTGAGTACTGCATTGCCTCTAGCGGTGCCTGCGTGATGCAACTGCCGTGGCTTGTCTTCATACTGAGGCTGAGTGGCTTGTCGGGACAGCTGCAAAACATGTGATTTACGCTCCAGCCATTCGGATAGGTTAATACATGTTGTATGTGTGACTGCTGCCGGAGCGTATGCACATAGATACTACTCAATTTGTGGTTATCAAGTTCACTTTATTTTCATGAGAGAAATTGGATATGACATTTTACTGGAATATTCTGGAGGAAACGATCAAAGAATCAAACACAGGTATTTGTCCAAAGAGGGAGTCGAGTGATGAATGTTGATAAATGTAGAATGTTAAAGTCCCAGATCCAGTTTCTGATGAAAGTTGGAGACCTTCAGGTCAATACTGTCTTACTATAGTTATCATTCATTGGTGCAAGTGTCTAAAGTTGGTAATCATGTTTAACGTGAAAATATACTGTGTATAATTATTGATTTACACACACTATCTACTGAGGTGTGTGTTTGACAAAGTATGTGAAGCGCTAAATGAATGTGACCATTTCCATGTTTTACTTTAAATTATCTGTATCCATAAACTACATTTACCTTTTGAAGGTTCATTTTCACTAAAATGCATCAAAGGAAAATCCCTCCCAACATCTCAGAAGGACTCTTCATCCTTTTGGAGAGCATTTCAGAAAACCTGTACCATCAAACAATTACAAATATGACCCTGTGGTCCCTGGCTATTATTCTTGAGGTGACACATCCAGCTAAAAAACGTTTTATGAATTAGAATGGTTTTGTTTTTAACATTTTACCATAAAGCCTGAGTTCTCTCCTCAAACGTCATGTATCCTAAACGTATGCTTTAACCTCTCTGTTGTGTCTTTGCAGGCGGCCTCTTTATCGACAATCCCTTCTACCAGCCGCGGACGCTGGCTCCCTTCATCATCCACCTGGGGCCGCAGGATCTTTTTTCTGACTTCTAGACACTGTAACAGATTGGCGTTTGCTCACGACGGCGGGTGAACCGTGGGACGTCTTTCCTTCCAGCTGAACTCACTAAAGCTGGACTCGCTCCTGGCCGAGTGACAGCAGTGACCGGACAAGTCGCTTTTCAGTTCTGTTTCCTTTTTCCCTCGAGCAGATTTCGACTTCAGAGGAATGGACTGGAAACGGTAGTACAATGTTTCTGGATCTCTTAATCAACGGATTTCTGTCTTTCTAAAAGCAATACATGGAACTTCTTTTCAAGGAGATGTGAATGTCTAATGGATTTTACCCAACACAAGCACCGCAATATTTCATTTGATTGTATACTCATTGTATGTATGGTAAATGTGGCTATATACAGAGTACAAACACATGTTTCTATAATGCTGTGTTGAAAATTATATCACTATATGATGTATGTATGTAAATATGCTATTGAATCTTATTGTTATTATTATAAATTATTTTAGAATTATAAAGTGAAAGTACGTGTAATATCACAATATAGCTTTCTTCCAATTTTATATACACTGAGCAATTGAAGCTATAGGAAATGCAATATTTTGAGATCCCTTTCAACCCATGCTGTTTAGAAGTAGACTTACACACACAGGAAAGAACAGTGGACCAGGGCTAATGAAGCACAGGCTCAGATAACCTCACAATACTGTCTTTTTCAAGTGTTGGATGCAAAAAATGTTGTTTAAAACTATTTTTGTTGTTGTTTTACGCAATTGATTAATTGTAAAACAAAGTAGGGCTGTTACTAAGTAGATGGCCCAATATTTTTTTATATTAATCTTTGAGTTGTTTAAGCCCCAAACATTCAGTCACAATATAATGATACATGACACAGTTAATATACATATCATTTGTGTAATTCTTTTTTTGTTCTCTTCACAAAAACAGACCTGGAGTTGTTTTAGATCCCTCAACGCTAATATCAAGAGCTCCCTCTGTCTCTAACCCACTTCTATTCAAACAAAGGTGGTTATAAAATGTACTTTCCACTGAATTCATTACTAGATAGGACAAATATTTCAATAATCAATTAGTTACAATCAACTTGGTAAAGCCCTCAATGAAAACATTCAGTAACCGTCCTCATTATTTTTGCATATGACAAAAAAAAGCTTCATTTTGAGTGTGTTGGTCCACTATTCATCCACTGTGTCGTACACACAGCAACACATATGTCCTTGTATATTTGATGTCGTTCCGAGCCTTTGTGAGCGTGCTCTCTGCAGCCTTGGGTTTGTTTACAAGTGACCCGTCTCAGAGGCGCTGCTCACATCCCACAAGCATCCCCCCTTTCCCCCTGCCCCAGCATCCCACCTCTGCACACGCCTTTGTCCCGTCAGAAAGCACACATCCGGTCGCCTCACTACTGGCAGGAGACACGCTGTCGTCACAAATACGAGGATGATGTCTATAGAGAGATGGTCCGCTCTGCCCACGACCTCCAGGACCACAAGCACAGCTCTCCGTTAGTCTCTTGTATACGCCTGCCACTCCCACTATCCCCACACCAGCTTTAACCCAACGACAATATCCAAATGTGCATGATCTGAAAGAGAAGCTATACTCAACTTTTGAATGTAATCTATTGTAATCTTGAACAGGGAAAGGAAGAAGTCGACTTTTCTACATGTGTTGCATTGTGTTACCTTCTTGCCAAGCTAATATTGTCTTATGAGATGTGCGTATGTAGATAAAATGCTTTGTGCTCAGTAATGTTCGGACTGGCAACTGGGATGTAACTGGAACAAAAGTCTAATGTGAATTTGCATTTATTGATTTGCAGTTTTAAATGTGCATCCCCATGGCTCTAAGTTATTTTAAGTTTTTGTGATAGATTGTATAATGCACATGTTAACTTGTCAACACCATGTAATCTCTATATGGTGACCACTCACAACTATTTAAGTAATATTGGAGATCTTGTGGAAAATACTCAGGATGAATTTTTGGTAAAGCCTTGTCTGTGTGTAATGTAGATGTTTAAGCAATAGAAAAGAGGCAATATACTGCGACATATAGAATCTTCAAGTCGACTTTTTAACTTCAAGTCCCTTTTGTTCCCAGAAGGAGCCTCTGGGTGAAAGCAAATCGGCGTGTCCCAGAACTGTCGATGTCACCACAGAAATAGTTCTCACTTGTGTTTGTCTGTTTATAGAAGTCCTTTTTAGTCCGCGGATGAGCACAGAATCAATTCCTCTCACACCTTGATCTAGAGTGGAGTTTGATCTCGTGGTGTTCGTGCTAGCGTGTATTCTGCAAAGACGAGCATGAGTCATTCTGATCTACGCATTCGACACACATTACTTTTTAGATATATATATTTTTAAAATATATTTTAACTACTATAAATGCCCAGGTCCAGAGGTGGCAAGATGACGACAAACAAAAGCAGTCAAGCGTAATTTTAAAATCAAGGAGAACGATAGTCTAATGAACAATAGACCAATACATGTCTATAGTGGTTAGCCATGCTTCTAAGTGAAAATCTTTGCTGTTTGACATGCCTCTAACTTCAATAGGATAACAGCTGCATTCTACAGCAGTAATGTTTTACAGTCCACTCTAAATACGCAAAATGTGTTTTACTTTTAAAATGAAATAGATATAAATACACAAATCTATACTTTTACTTACAGGAATCAATACTTTTCAAAGTGTGAAGAAAGCGTGAAACGAGCTCTGGTTAGAACCGCCCCCTGCTCCGCCCCCTGCTCCGCCCCCTGCTCCGCCCCCTGCTCTGCCCCCTGCTCTGCCCCCTGCTCTGCCCCCTGCTCTGCCCCCTGCTCCGCCCCTTGCTCCGCCCCCTGCTCTGCCCCCTGCTCCGCCCCCTGCTCCGCCCCTTGCTCCGCCCCCTGCTCCGCCTCCAGATTCCTGAATGTTGGAAATACATTTATATCCTTAGTGGATGTATTTATGGGGACAGAATATCTTCAATATATTATTCTTGAGAAATACTTACTGTATATAACAGTACAGTGCCTCATAGTCAGAAATATATACATTTAAAAACAAAATACAATGAAAGTTGCTTCACTTTTAAGGACTTTTTTTGTCACTTCTGCATCTAGTATTTGTTCAACCACTCTCGACATTTATTCAGACAAGACAAAAAAGACCTGAACTCCTTTCATTCTTTAACATTTATAATTCATTACATTTGAGTCAACAGAAGTGGGCAATGAAACCACTATCATAGTAGTTATCTTAGGGATACATTCGATTACAGATCCCTTCTCTCCCCTTTGCCTTCACATAAAGAAGATCTGCAAAGGTTTTTCTAAAGGACATTCTGTGTATGTGAAAAGTTGCTTCACTCTGCCTCCAAAACAAGTTTAGTTTAGGCATTTTCTATTCTATCTGTATATCTTTGCTTACCTATAGGAAACATACCCTGCTGCATTTGCATGACTCAAATTGGCGTTGGGATCATCTTGCGTCATTGAGTTAAGTTTATCCCAGAGCTAAGGCCTTTAGCAGAAACTAGATCCCGGGGCCTTCTGAGCGTCTACTGCGATGTGGCCATGTTCACTGTCACGCCACATCTGTTTATCTCGTCTGTAAAGTAGATTTGCAACACCAGGTTTCGTCCTCCACAGAGTCTTGTCGTTTTCATAGAGAAGTCTGATTAGATGATAATTCAGTTTTTATGTGCGAGGCTTTTTCTGTGGCTGAGGAAACGCTCCAAACTCCCCCTTTGTCCCAGCCTGGCCCTGTCTGTGTATGAGCGACATTAACTCATTGACTGTTTCTCAAGACCCACAGAATATCATTTCCTAGGACTATGTAAAATATGAAACCAGATTCTGAAAGACTGGATTGTCTACTTTCATCAGCAAAAATAAGTTTGTTTCTAGCTGTTTTTATTGTCCTGTAATCCCCAGTCGAATAGAGGGTCTCAGACAAATATGTCAATGGCAGTTAATGAGTTAATAAAAGACAATGCAAACAATGCAGAGAGAAACCTTTTCATTTCCCTGTAGCCTGGGCACATTCTGTCTGAACACTGACCTGAGCAGCAGTCTGACTAATGTTCTGCTTGTGTTAACATCAGTACCCAGTGGTCCAAATATGTAAAAGTCAGAGAATCTAACACTAAATAGCTTGCAGTAAATTATGGTGGCCAGACAATTGACCAAAAATGTAATTATTTCTGTTTCTAATCATGACTTGAGTAATATTTGGATCAGAATGACTATATTGTATGCACTTTTACTCATGCTTGACCTCAGTCTATTTTGGTTGTCCTGAGCTGAGGTTCCTAACTTTTTTTTAAATGAATAGTTTATGTTTATCCTGACGAGTCTTAAGAAAAAAGTCAAATGTGTACAAACAAATCAAACCACCACATACTGTCTTTATCCTATTATGGAAAAAAAGCTGATTTGAAGATGTGACTGAAGCCAAATACATGCATGTGAGAATTAGAATCAAACTGTTGTTAGGTCCATGGACTTGTTCATATTTTTGTGATTTGAAAGTTGGGTGCCTCAGCTGTAATTAATTACGGATTACACATTTTAGCGTGTTCACTAAAAAGGTCTTTACATGCTTGGCTGTACCACTATTGGTGCCACTCTGACAAATTGTTTTCTCCCAAAGAGTGGTGTATATGGTGCATCGAGGCCTAGAAGGTCGGGCGAAGTCTGTGCTGTTCCTATTCTAACAAGATTATCAAAACCAGACGAGATAAAAACAGAAGGAAAGACTAAATAAGTTCTGCTTCACATACCAGTTCTGTGATCACGAGTTCCCTTTGAGTTGAAATCCCTTGTATTTTGCTCACATGACTGAAAAGCATGCATTCTCCACCTGGTTGCTTCATCTTGAACATGACTGGCTTTCCAACAGTGATGAGTTTCCACTATCTCGTCTCATTTTGGAGCTCTGCAGTTAAATAGCAACCATATCTTTTTCAGAGAGTTATAGTTGGACCAGATTGGGCCTGTGTGACGGATGCTCTCGCTGTTTTGTCCCGCCTCCTTTTCAGACCAGTGCGACATTTGAACACAACCCTCCAATGGTTTTAAAAGAGACAAATGACGTCTTTAAAAAGCACAAAACCCTCAGAATAGTATCGTAACATGTTTCACGTGAAGACTCAGGGCTCCCAGGTTGACACTCTCGTACAAGCAAAGACACACTTGTAAATACTTTATTGTTCATCGTCAGATCTTCTATAACGTCTGAGCAGATTGAGACTGCATGGCGCTTACCTTGCTCTATTTGTATGATAAAACACATATGATTGTACTGTATCTATAGTGTTTGGCCTTGTTTGTAATGTTTAGGATTTGAGCCATGAAACGTCACACTCCTGTTCCCTCATCACGGTGCTTATACGCTACGTAGCAGATTTAGTTTGTCATTAAGCAAGCAGATGTATATGTATATAATAGTGACGTTTTGTTGGCAGCCATGAAGGAGATTTGCTTTTGCCTCAATTCAGCACACCAGGAAATGCAATATGTTCAGCAGATGAAAGACTTCTGTGGGATAGCGGTGCCGGGTAGCTTTGGCGCAATGTCTATTTCCGGGTACCTCTTCATCTCCTTTGCCAGGTCCAAAGGTCTAAAGATTTAAGGAAGCTGATTGAGGCTGATCTATCTTGACCAAAGAGTATGGATCCAATAGTTGAGATGGTTTAAATGGTTCTCAAAAGGTGGAATGGAGTCCAGTTTGGAGTCCAGTAAAGCCGTGTTCGTAGGCCAAAAATGCTCCAGATTTTGTCATGGTTTTGCCTCATTAATCCTCAACTGTTTCCAGTCCATCTCTCCCATCCATAATTGTTATTCATTTCATTAGAATTAGTTTGTGCGCATAACCCTAACCCTGTTTCAAACTGAGAACTGAAGCATAGACTGAGTGCAGGCGATTAGAACACTACTTTTGACGTATGGACAGATAATATAATAACACCGTAAAACATTGATGTTGGTGTCGCAGAAAGTCCAAAGACTGCGAATACTAAATACTCTGGAGGTAAACACATGAATATGGATACGCCGAGTTTGGATTTAGTTTGGTTGTGGTCCATCGGGTCGAGTTGTTTTATCTTCGTAGTGACACTTTTGCCCTCATTTATCAATTTGGCACGAACTGACAAGACAAATGAACCTTTTAAAATCAATTAAGCATGAATTTTCCTTTGATTTTGTCAATATTTTGGTCTGTTTGCCCTTTTTGTTGGGTGGTGGTCTCAATTGTATGGTCTAATCTTGTTTAGATCATTCCTAGATCCATCCAGTGCGGCCACTTTCACACGGCGATTCTGACGCCCAAATCATTCCTGCGTTTGGCGTGAAATGTTTTGAGACTCCCTGGCTGGCCTACTTCATGGTATATCCCCGCTGAATGTGTATTACAGACGAGGAGGGAGTTCTCTTGAAGCGTGCAGACTTCAGAAATAGGGTGCGGATCATATTTCCAACAGCAGGACGTGTGTGTGTCCATAAAAATCACACACATATGATCCGCTGCTTGCTTCTTGGTCAGTAGTAGTAATAGCCCACATTGTTCATTTTGGTCGGGAATGTATATTGTTTAGTGACTGTAGCGTAGAATGTATTTACTCATAGCCAGAGTAAAGCTTTCCTAGAAAAGCATATATAAAGAAAATATATATATGGTCACGTACATATATATACAGCTATATATCTTTAAGACTATTTGTATGTGGGAGCTAGTTTTGGGCGCATCCAAACTGTTATGAACCCTTTCATGTTCTTTGTTTTTGATCTCACATGGAGTCTTAAAGTGACGAGTGCTTTTTTGTGGATTTGATTTGTTTTTGTTGTCGTTTTTTTTAACAATTGTGAAATTAAAGATGTTTTGTTATCGATGCCGCCCAAAAGCATTAAGACTATTATTAAAAGTGCTATATGATAACAGCATATGTTCAGTTATCTTGAAATTAAGTGAAATGCTTATTAATAACAGAGAGTCGTGTGATGCAAAACAATTCAACCGATGATACAAATTAGGGTTATGGTTTGGATTTAGTAGCAACATTCGCCACAGTGATGATCTGTGGTTGTCACGGTTACGTATGCTTGACAAACTGGGAATAAAAAAAATCATAAATGAAATGTCTCATTATTAATTTATCTGTGTAATATCATTCATAATGAAATCAATGCATAGTTTTACCTGATTGGAAAATGGTAAGAAAGTAACTGCACAAACCAATTGTTCTACAATTTTGGTGTAATTTTAGTTATGGGCAAATAAAGCCCCGTAGCACACGGAGGCTTTCTCTGCCAGACTGCTTCAAATGTGTCGGGCCTCTGAGCTCATACTAACTTGTTACACTGAAATCTAGTGGACAGATTTAATCATTACAACTTCTGAGTGCACAATTTCACCATGAAACATAAACATAAAATATAAAATATAAACCTGAATTGGATATGTTAAAAGTCCCTCACTACATTACCCATGATGCACTTGTGAATATTGTAGTTCCCAGGGGCCCTCTCCGGTAGCCGAGTTTAGAGCTATTCATTACGGTGTTAGGAGCAGAGCCTGTGCGAGTGTGTCATGCCATCCGTCCTCCATCCAGTGTATATAAGTTCTGTGTGCGTTTATACAACGTGAGTATTGTGTGCCAATGTATATTTTCTTTATCTCACTGTATATATCCCAAATTGTTGCTCCCTACCTTTAGTTATAATATGTGTCGTGTGCCACGTGCATTTGCAGTAGGAGCGTCCATCGCGTTGGAGCACGCTGTATAATAAGCTGCTTTATTATTACATTGTACATAGTTGCTCATGTGTATATAGTTTAAGGAGTCCATTCCTGTTAAACAAATAATTACTTTCATTTGTCTCTTCTTAAAGGTATACAAGAGGATTTTCTACTTCCGGGTGGATCATCAACACTATTGGTCCTCCCAAATGTCAATCATTCTGTTTATACGTCCTTGTCCTATAAGAGCAGAGAGTTTTGTTCAAAAAGTAGAAAGGGCGGTTCTTTCCTAAAATATGGGAAAATCCTCCTTTATACCTTTAAGTCCCACGTGTGCTACGGTTTGTAGAGTTAGAGCACCCCCTTGTGGGGAACGGGTGAAATTCCATTCTGTCATTACATTGTACCTGTGTTTACCTGTGTTTATAGTCAAATGGCTATTTCTAATGTATACTATCTTTCTGTTAATTCCAGATGACCACACACACATACGCACCTATACACAGAAATCTTCACCTGCAACATACCTGTGCTCTTCCATCAATAAACATCACAACTGTGCACCTGGAGTTTGCCTGTTCCTTCTAACCGAGGAAGACTCAGCTGACTGTCGTATCCGTTATCGGCGTATCCAAACGCTCACAGTATTTCACAAAGGGTCCTTCGAGCCGGATCGACTATTGGCTGAGTTAACAAGATGGCATCTCCAATCCATACAGAAGAGGCTCATCACAGGGAGAGTCCAATGCATAGTGCCCGTCCACACAGGAGCAGAAAGCTTCCCGGACATCTGTTGCACTATGAACATGATCTACCCGATCCAGAGTCACCTTCTGACCAGCATGCAGATGAATCAGACCAAGAGAACAGGTATAGATGGGAGAAGATGGAGTGTGCGTGGGACCGAGTGCTGAATACAATGAAAGAGATGCAGGTCACCATGAGGGAAACCAGCAGTGCATTGAACAGGCGGGTGGATAAACTAGAGCGACATTGTGACTCCGTTAGTCCTCTCCCTTTGGCCAGTGCACCATCCAGAGCTGCTTCAGTTCCTCCATTGATGAGACAAGACAACATAACTCCGGTGAACCAGTTGAGGCCAGTAGAACCTGCTGCATTGAGTACCCATCATACTGTCCCGCCTTCACCACACTTGTCTCTTCCTGGCTTAAGTCCTGTTATTAAGCATCCTGCACCTCTATATGATCCACATGCACAACAGCAGAGTGCTTTCCTCTCCGTGCTCCAGCCCACATTGAGACCTTCATTCGAACCTGCCCTGCAGTCTGTAGCCCCTCCAGTGAATTCAGCTGCTCCGCAAAGGGACGTTATTCATCCTGCTCAACCTGTCCTTCGTATGGTTCAATCATCACCACTGAACAACCACATCGAACCACATCGAGCAGAACCTCTGTACATTTAGAGCGCCCAACCTCAGCCACCCCCATCTAGCTCTAACCAAGTGTCCACAGCACAGCCCTACAATCATGCAGTCTACAGCCAACATCAGTCTGCACCCCCGTATCCACCGCAGGGGGGAGAGGCCTATATACATAATGTAGCTCCGCCCACTAATGCAGCCAGTCATGGTGCTACATATCCATACGCCTCTAATTACCCTCAGCAGCCTGCTCCACATCATATCCCCCCAGTTGCAGTGGCACAACCAAACCTCATGGAGATGATAGTGGCATCTTCATATGGCATCCCTAAACCTAAGCTTGTAACATTCAAATCAGACAGAGAGAGTGACTTTGCACTGCTAAAGAAGGGACTGGACAGTTTACTGGGGCCACACACTCATCTCACAGAGGAGTATAAATATCACATTCTGCTAGATCATTTAGAGCATCCCTGTGCTGTGCAGGTAGCCAGGCGCTACATTCATGACCACACCCCCTACAGCAGTGCGATGAGAGCGCTGCTGCAAAGGTATGGGCAGCCGAGGCAATTAGTCCAGAGTGAACTGAGTGCTATACTAAACTGCTGTCCTATTAAAGCCGGTGACAGTAAAGCCTTTGAAGATTTTTCCCTATCTATTTCCAGCCTGGTTGGCCTTCTCAGTTCCATGGATGAGGTAGCAGCGAGTGAGCTCCATTGTGGTTCACATGTAGACAGACTACTTAGTAAACTCCCTCCCAGCTACCGGGACAGTTTTATTGAGTATTGTATCACACGTGGCATCATTTTGGGGAAAGCCCGGTCTCATCCGCTCGGATGATATCCACCCAACGTTGGCGGGTACATCCCTTTTGGCTAAGAATTTGGCCCTGGCTCTAAACTGTTCTGCCCGGCTCAAATGACGATGCAGAACTGAGGCCCGGGTGCAGAGCTGCTCTGCCACAACCTCTGAGCCCCCATCTGTTCAGTTACTAGCCTCAGAGGCTAGTCAGATTGAAACTGTGTGTGCATGTGTGTGTGTGCCTGTGTGTGCTCAGTTACTAGCCTCAGAACCTAGTCAGATTGAAACTGTGTGTGTTCCCCGCTTGAAGTCTAAAGCACTATATGCGAGGAAATCTGACCTAGGTGTCAGACACAGTAACTTAATAAAAGTTCAGACAGACAGAAATAGTTCTAGCGGTAGGGTTGTTAAAATGTGGTTTAATGAACGTCAGATCAATCTCGTCTAAATCGCTTCTCATAAACGAACTTATTATAGACAAGGGCTTGGATCTGTTAGCGCTCTCGGAGACTTGGCTCCAACAGGACGAGTACGTTAGATTGAATGAGTGCACTCCTCCGACGCATGTTAACTACCAGAAAGCCAGAGCTACAGGTCGCGGCGGTGGTGTTGCGATTATATCACACACCAACTTGGTTCTTAGTCCCAAAACCAACAACGCTTTTCACTCGTTTGAAAACTTAACACTTTCAATCACCTGTCCTGGGTGGAGAAAACAAAAAGCAGTACTATTTATAGTTTTATACCGACCTCCTGGTCCTTACAGCGAGTTCCTAACAGAATTCTCTGACTTCATTTCAAACCTAGTTTTGGAATGGGAAAACATAGTTATAGCTGGAGACTTCAATATACATGTGGACGACAGCACTGACAGCTTAAACAAAGCTTTCAGCGCCGTACTAGATGGTGTTGGTTTTACTCAGAATGTCGAGGGACCTACTCACATTCATAACCACACCTTGGACCTTGTCCTGACCTACGGCTGTGATGTCTCCAATGTTGACATCCAGCGTCAAAGCTCGTTGCTGTCTGACCATTTCTTGATCACGTTTGATCTCGCTTTGGAGGACTTTCCTGTCCCGCAAGATAAAACCATAATGAAAAGAACCTTAAATGATAAATCTATCACAAGGTTCAAAGAACTAATACAGCCTATGTTGAATACTGCTGCAGGTGAACCTGTTCACAGCAGCTGCAGTCCCTCAGTCATTGACCAAACGGTGGACAACACTATGGAGTCTTTAAAATCTGCATTAAATGCAGCAGCTCCTTTAAAACAGAAAACCATTAGGATTAGATCATCGTCGCCCTGGTACAGTGTTCAACTCCACACTTTAAAACAGGACGTCAGAAAATTGGAGAGGCTATATCGCCACTCCCACTCGGAGCCTGTCCACAGGGAGTGGAAAGCAGGTCTCCGAAACTACAAGAAGGCCCTTCGCGGGGCTCGAACTCAATACTATTCAACTTTAATAGAAGCGAATAAAAACAACAGTAGATTTTTGTTTGGTACCGTCGCTAAACTCACAAACTGCCATAGCGCAATCGAGCCTAAAATTCCAAGCTCACTGAGCAGTGTCGACTTTCTCCACTTCTTTAATAATAAAATTACATCCATCCGTGACAAGCTGGAGGAGGTTGCTCCTGCTATTAGTGGTGGACAGGTTGAAGCGGCATACGTGACTTCCCACTTAGACTCTTCAGTGGGCCTTAATAAATTCATGGCTGTGAGCCAAGCAGAGGTGATCTCTGTGGTCACATCCTCAAAAGCCTCAACTTGCATGTTAGACGCAGTCCCGACATGGCTCTTCAAAGACATACTTCCTTTGATAATTGAGCCTATCGTAAATATAATAAACGCATCCATACAATGTGGCTATGTCCCACAAGCTTTTAAAACCGCGGTAATCAAACCCCTTCTGAAGAAAACAAACCTGGACCCAGAAATACTTACAAACTACAGACCGATCTCAAACCTCACTTTTATATCTAAAATCCTGGAAAAACTTATAGCTGAGCAGCTCCGCTGCCACCTGCAGGAAAATGATATGTTTGAAGTCTTTCAATCAGGATTCAGAGCTCATCATAGCACTGAAACGGCACTAGTCAAAGTCACAAATGACTTACTACTAGCTGCCGATAATGGACAAGTGTCAGTGCTGGTCCTACTGGACCTTAGTGCTGCATTTGACACAATAGACCACAGCATTCTACTGCAGAGGCTAGAATGTGATATAGGTCTTAGAGGAACAGCCCTTGGCTGGTTTAAATCCTATTTATCAGATCGATATCACTTCGTCAATGTGAATCAGGACTCGTCGCCTTATTCTGGAGTGGAATTCGGTGTGCCGCAGGGTTCGGTACTCGGACCGATTCTTTTTACTCTCTACATGCTGCCACTGGGAAACATTATTAAAAAGCATGGAATTAATTTCCACTGCTATGCAGATGACACACAGCTTTATCTGTCGATGAAGCCTAATCAGACAGATCAGCTAGAAAAGCTCAGTGCCTGCATAAAGGACCTTAAAATGTGGATGACTCTTAACTTCCTACTTCTCAACCCGGAGAAGACAGAAGTGATCCTACTCGGTCCGAAGCGCCTGCGTGACTCCCTCACTAACCAGATGGTTACTCTCGATAATGTCAGTATAATACCCAGTAACACTGTGAGGAATCTTGGAGTCATTTTTGACCAAGAACTCTCCTTCAAGGCTTATATAAGCCAAGCAACTAAAACGGCGTACTTCCACTTACGGAACATCGCTAAAATTAGGAATTTCCTTCCTAAAAGTGACGCAGAAAAACTCATTCACGCGTTTGTCACCTCAAGGCTCGACTACTGTAACGCTTTACTGGCAGCGTGCCCTAAAGCCTCTTTGAAGAGCTTCCAGCTCGTTCAGAATACAGCAGCTAGGATCTTAACAGGTACCAAAAGGAGGGAGCACATAACTCCGGTGTTAAAATCACTCCACTGGCTCCCTGTGGAGTACAGAATAAAGTTTAAAATCCTACTCTTAACATATAAAGCCATAAATGGCTTGGCTCCCTCTTATCTCCAAGACACGTTAGTGTCGTATCAACCAGGTCGAGCGTTGCGCTCACAAAACGCCAGACGTCTGGTGGTCCCTAAGGTCTCAAAGGTCACTGTTGGTGGCAGAGCATTTAGCTACCAAGCTCCTTTACTGTGGAATCAGCTTCCCATTTATGTTAAGGAAGCAGATACGGTCTCCACATTCAAGGCCAGGCTTAAAGCACTTTACTTTAATTTAGCATATAATTAGGTAATATATAATATGTAGTGTATATATTATATATATATGCTGTATTATGTTATATATTATGTTATATATTATTCAATAATGTATTGTGTTATGTTGTCTCTGAGCCTGGCCTCTTCCCATCTACACCTGCGGACTGCCCCGCCCGACCCGCCTGGGAGTGCTTCAGTCCTGCACCGGACCTGTCCACGTTCAGCGTCCACTGGTCCACGTTCTGTAGCTAGCTTAGGTCCTGGATCATTAGCCTGTCCGTCCGGAGGAGCGGATCCCTTTCTCATATGGGTCTCCCTCCCTGTGGGTTTCCCTAGTTCTCCTCCAAGGTTTCTCACTTTTTCCCACTGGGTTTTTTAAGAGTTTTTCCTTGTCGATGCAGGAGGGTCTTGTTGGACAGTTAGTGTCCAACAGAAAGGATTGATGATGATCAGGACACTTTAGCATTCTACAACATGTATGGACATTTTCTTCTGTGTGTGCTTTATACTGTATTCTTCATGTGTTTTAACTGTTGATTCTCTGACCTGTGTTGGTGATTTCAATGGTTTTGTTAAGTCCTCTGAGATGACTTCTGTTGTGACCTAGGGCTATACAAGAATAAATTGTGTAGTAGTGGATTGGAGCCCTGCCCGATTCCCGCCGCACTAACTAGGCGCAAGCCTCGGGCAGGAATAACGAAGGCGCAGTGTACGAGGCCTAGCTCCAACCAAGGCGATCGCCTGAAAGTGACACTGACAAGCTCAGAGGAGCAAAACACCGAGCAAGGGCCGCTCCACCTATCAAGGACGCCACACTCAGGCAGGACTCCCGTAGGAGCCAAAAGTGAACATACCTAGGACGCCTCCTACTCAAAGCCTCCTGAGGTATGAGAAGAGTGATAAGGCATACCCGACGCTCTATCAAGGAGCTCCTGGATATGCAACCATTAAACCGGGAAAGAGCGGTCAAGTCACGGTGATCCAGACCCCTGCTCTTTCAGAATGGAATGGGCAACCGACCGGATCTGCCACGTCCACTAAAAATAAGACCGGGCCAAAGGTAGAAGGACGAAGCCCAAGAACGCGCTTGGCACAACGTCCTCTACACAGAGGCACCACCGGAGCAGAGATGTGTAGGAGCCAGCGGACTCCTCGTGTGTGGAGTTCGCGCCCTGAAACCCCAACCGGGGAACCAACTCCTGACCTGGTAACGCCAAGCGAATCGCCGCGATCACCCAAGTGAGGACAGCTCTGGGTGATCAATGGTGCGCCCTGTTCTTAGGCCTGAGCACACAAAAGACGAGATCCTACCGTCTGAAGGAAGCTGTAACCCCAGGTAGGATCCTCAGCATCTACTGGGCACAACAATTGCAGCCTGCTGCCTCCGCCTCGGAGGGGGCAGGAGGCGAGCGGGTGAAAGGGTCGGACCCTGATGACCCTACCTAAAAGCAGAAGTAACAACCTTAGGCAGAATGGCTGGTTTCGGGCAAAAGCATAGCCACACGACCGCGAGCACCGAATGCTTAGACTTCTGCGGAGCGAACGGAGCGATGTGCGCATAGCTTCCCTGCCCTCTTGGTTGAGACCAACGCCAGCAAAAATCGGCAGTCTTGAGAGCCACACACACATGTGTCTGGCCTGGGCCCCAGGTTTCGCGAAGGAGATCCACAGATCACCCCTTCAAACCACTTTAACGTCCCCGAGTGGGGGGGTCTTTAGAGAACCTGCCTTTTCCGTTGGACCCCCCGAAGGAAACGCTTTACCATGGTCGGAACGAGCCGAAAAGGTTCCGAACCTTCATGCCAGAGGTCAATGGCTTGCCGCGAAAGGGGGGTGGGGGAGGGGAAAGGAGGAGGGGGGGGGGGGGGGGGGGGGGGGGATATAAATAGAGAAGTGAACAGACACCGCCAAGGGTGCCGGCAGCCCTCCCCATTCTCTAAAAGCTTTGTAAAAAGCCCAGCACTCCCCTCCAAGGCATGACATAGAGGCCCCAGGGGACCGGGCCGCGGCACCTAGTCACTGTTACCGTCCACCTACTAATCCGTAGGCCCTGGATAGGGTGGAAAGGGAGCCCCGGAATCAGACCGCTGAATGGTCTCCACCACCGACTGGCGGGGAGACCCAGACCTACACGAGGTCACGCCTCTCGAGCCACACTACCAGACCCAAGTCTGCGCCCCCGCAATACCGAGGAGCGAGTGAAGCGTCCCCCCCTCCCTGGACCAAGCCCCCGGGCTCGTCCGGGAGAGGCCATGGGTCGCACACCCGCCACTGCACCCACAAGAACGGGAACCAGAGGCGGCATGCGGGCTGTCCGGGACGCGACGAGGCATACGAATTATTCACTCCGAATTTACAGTCCGACCCTCCCTGGCCGTTTCCCTCAGAAGAACCGGCAAGAGGCAGTCGGGGGGATAACGCATACAGAAGAACCCCCGGCCACGGTAATCGCGCCAGGCATTCCACACCACCATAGGGTGGATTGGTCTGTGGCGCGCAGCGCGAACTCAGAGGTGGACACAGAGAGGTTGCCTAGCACTGGCGAATAGTCGACGCCCTCTATGGTCGACCGAACGCTTCTGCCATACCTCTCATGCTATCTGCGCCAGCCCACTCCTCCCTGAGTGTCGGCCCCCACCCCTGGAACCTCACGGTCCCGCCCCTGTTATTCCAGTCTCCGGAGAACTGGCTGCCCTGAGAGACACAGATCTCGCACTCGCCCAAGATCAGGTGAGGGCCGCCACGGCCCGATGGATAGCGGGGGTATCTCGTGCCCCCCCCTGCCTTTTATAGTAGGCCACCACGGTGTTGATGTCTGAAACGTACCATCACGTGTCCTTCCCTGTAACCACGGGGTGCAAAAGTGCAGTAGTAAACACCCTGCTCACTGCCCTCCACTCCAGTATATTGATGTGCGGAGATGGATCTGACCAAGCCCTCCCACGGACTCTGACCCAGAACCCCCTCCCCACCCCTCGAGAGAGTGCTTCCGTAAACACATCCACGTGTGAAACGGCAGCTTTGAGGAAACCCCCGTCCCCATCCACGCTCTGGGTAGAGGCAGAAGCTGATGTCTGCACCTCACCCTGGGGGTAAAAAACGACGAGCATGGTGCGCTGCGTCCGGGAGTGGTGAATCCTGAGTACCGGTAGAACCATCTCTGAAACCCTCTCATGTGGAGAAGACCCCAGGCTTATAAACTGCATGGCCCTGCCATCACCCCAGGAGTGATCTGAGGCAAACGAAGCATAACCCGCTGGGTGGCAGTCAGCGCCCTGGTGGCCACTGTGAGAGGCTCGCCTGTCTGTCCCTGGACAAAGGGCTGCCTCGGCAACAGGATGGGGGGCTCGCCACCGAGTCCACTAGCCAGACACGAGGTAGAGTGCGCGCTGGTAGGTCCTGCGTACATCTGCTCTTCACTACTGTATCACCACAAAGCCCAGCTGTATGTATGTGAGACAGAACCGCGAGGCGTGTGATTCCAGGGCTACCTCCCTGAATGACGCCCAGGATTAACCACAATCGTCGTTGTAGGTTAAGATCCTGACCCCGGCATTTTCTGAGTGGCATCAGGCTGCCTCCACAGCATTTTGAGAAAGTGCGAGGAGCGCAGAGCGTACCCGAACGGGAGGCGGCAGTACTCGTAGCACCTTATCTCCCACAAGCGAAGCGCAGACAAAGCGTACTGTGGCTCTGCACTACAGACAACGTGGAAATAAGCGTGCTGTACAGATCATGATGTCAGCCATTCTCCGGGAACTGACGCAGTTCCCAGCAGCTGCTTCGTTAGTGACATGCGGAACGGCCCGTCTGGAGATGCACTGGTTGAGTGCGCGCAGATCCCAAAATAAGGGCGCACCCCCCCATGTTTTATTGGCGCACCAGAAAGTAAGGGGCAGTAACAAGCCACTCTGTGAGCACGTCCTGCGGGTCGACCTGTGATCGCAAGCACGATGCTTAATAATAGCAGAGGCTACCCCTTTTGGAGAGCCTCTCTTCCCCAGGTCGCCTTGAGTTTGCCGCTCGAGATACCCGACCCTGAGGAACGGCGGTGGTCCAACCTCGCGAAACTGTAGGGCAATAAACCTCTGCTAACGTCCTGTCCCGCCACAGCGTCTGAGAGGAGCCCCTGCTCTCTCTCCAACCTGGTAAAAGAACTGAGAGGGGGCACCGGCCCTGAGACCTTGATCTTAATTCCCCCCACACTCCTGGTGCCTTCACGATGGAGGGGGGCGGAACCACGAAAGGGCCGAGGAAGTCAGTGTTGCCCCGTTGCCTTGGTAAACCACAGCTTCGTCCTCTGTCCGCTTTGCCCCGCTGCGCGATGACGGAGGAGACCTCTACTCCTTTGCTCCGCTTACAGCAGCGTGCTCTGCTCTCCGGGAGCAGTTGTGAGAGAGAGACTTTATTCAAATAGTCGTATTTCTGTACATCCAGCACACACCTCAGTTATTGTTTTACAAAGAGTGTTGTGTGGGCCTTGCAAAAACGATCCTCTTCAATTAATAAACACAATAAGAAAAAGACTTACATATATAGATATAGTTTAAGTCTCAGTGTAGGTGGGAGGTAACAATTCACAAATCCTTCAAGTTTACCCCATGACGGTAAAGGGACAGTATGTACGTTTGATTTGAAACTAAAGAAATTCGGCTTCATTAGTGAAACCGCTGTTTGATCTCTACTTAAACTCCACAAGCTGCAACACATCATAGAATTCACATGAACCGCAGCTGTGTGTACATGTGTGTGTGCGTGAGTGTGTACATGTGTGTCCATGTGTGTGTGTGTGTGCATGTGTGTGTGCATGTGTGTGTGCATGTGTGTGTGTATGTGTGTGTGTATGTGTGTGAGGGTGTATGTGTGTGTGTATGTGCATGTATGAGTGTGTATGTGTGTGTGCATGTGTACTGTATGTGTGTGTGTATGTGTGAGTGCATGTGTGAGGGTGTATGTGTGTATGTGCATGTGTGAGTGTGTATGTGTGTGTGTGTGTGCATGTGTGTGTGTGTATGTGTGTGTATGTGTATGTGTGTGTGCATGTGAGTGTGCATATGTATGTGTGTGTGTGTGTGTATGTGTGTGTGCTTAACATACAGGGACATTGACAACAACGGTTTGAATTGTATTTGTAATTACTTCATTAATCAAATAACAGTAAAGTACATACTGTTCCCTAAAACCTGCAATAATTCAATGTCATGTTTTATTAATTCATTATGAAAACAGAAAAAAAACCTGAAAAACAGATTTTACACATCCAAATTCCATAATACGTTGCTACATTATTATAAAAAAAAAAATGACTGCAGTTCCCTTTTTTAGAGAATCTAAAAGTGCTTTTGGTTCTCTGAGCTAAAAGAAGTGGTAGTGGGGGACGGGGTAGGCGGGTACTTTCATGACAGGCAACAGAAGCATTCTCTTGGGCAAACCTAGAGGGAGACAACGACAAGTACGCTGCATAAGTCCAGGCAAAAACACCATACAATGCTGCAAAGGTCATCACTGATAGAGCTGCCTAAAGAGAGGGAGGGGAGGGGAGGGGGGTGAGGTGAGGGGAGGGGAGGGGGGAGGAGGAGAGGGGAGGGGAGGGGAGGGGGGGGTGAGGTGAGGGGTGAGGGGAGGGGAGGGGGGGAGGGGAGAGGAGGAGAGGGGAGGGGAGGGGAGAGGAGGAGAGGGGAGGGGGGGTGAGGTGAGGGGGAGAGGGGAGGGGAGAG